CTCGAGGAAACGTGGGTCCACGCAGAGCCCTGGAGCGGCTCTCGGCAAAATGGTCCCTCGGTCACCCGGAGAAGTCGGGAATAAGCGCCAACAGTACTGCGACGGGCTGAGCCTCTGCTGTCGCCAGGCACAAGGCTGGGGGCTTCATTCGGGACTGCGTACTCTGCGCAGCAACCCTGAAGAGTAGAAGCTGTGATCCCCGTTCACAAGGGGGAAAGTTGAGTTTAAGGACCGTGTAGTCGTTCGCGATCTTTTGGCCTCCGTGATCTGCAGCCTTGAGTCTCCCGAGGACTGTTTCGCTTTCCTGCTACTCCTAATTGTGAAGGCTGAGGTGTCAGGAATCTCAAGGCCTGTTCCACAGCAACCCGGACAGCGCTCGACGCTGCCGTCCTGCTAACTCCCTCTTCCTGACGAGTGTTCAGTCTGGCTCGGGAGTTCCCCGTAAGCATCCTGAAGTCAGAGCAAGGCTCTCATTCGTCGTTGGCTCCCACGCTTAACCACCAGCCTTGGTCCGCAGTTGTCTTATCCCTTCCACCTCCCTTTAGAATGCATTAGCTTCGTGACTCCAGAAAGGTAATTAGCAAATAGTTGTTAAATGGAATGCGATTGAATTAAATTGAATCATACCCTGCATCACGTCCAGGTCTTCTGCTGTATTCGATACCCACCGTGTGGATCAGGCCAACCCAGCCTCACCAAGGTGTGTTTTAACATTTCGTGTCAGTAGTTTGAAAACCAGGCCCCGTTTTCTCATAAATACAATATGCTATGGTATGATGCGGTCCCCACAGGTAAACGGTGCTGCTGGTTCAAACAAGGTGATGCTGAGGACAGGACAAGCAGAATAGGAAAGAGGGCAGGCGGAAGGGAGCCGGGCTCCCCGACATCTAGGGCCACCACCCACAGAATTGAAATGTTTCATTTCTTTGGCATCTTCTGTCTCTTTGTGCATTCTCCTTGCTGACACCTCAGTCTTCTCCATAGAGAGACAGTAGGCACATGATCCTCGAGTCCCACTGCCGAACGCCACTCCTCAGATAAGCCACGTGCTCCTGTGTCTTCTCCAAGTTTTCTCCAAGTTTTTGCCCTTTTCCATGGTGAGATTCCTCAGTGCATAACTGGTTGGCTATGCAGTGAAAGTAAAGCAATCTGACCAGAACTTGTTTATACTAATGCTTTATCATACCCCAACTGGTTTGTACTACTTCAAGCCACTCTGGTGAACACAACTTATCTTAACAGCTGCTGTGGGTACCTAGCAGTGAATAATACCAACTCTTGCCCATGACATACGCACAAATCATAGACAAGGAAAAATTGTTTTCTGTGAATCAACTCAGTAAATCCACATGTAATGAATGTTTATTAGTTCTTTGAGTAAAGCAAGAAAGTGTGTGTGTATGTGTGTAGCTTTATAAAACCCAAAACTATTACCAATCAAGCCGGGCGTGGTGGCACACACCTGTAATCCCAGCACTTGGGAGGCTGAGGCAGGAGGATCACTGTGAGTTCCAGACCAGCCTGGGCTATATAGTGAGTTCCAGGTCAGTCTCAACTACATAGTGAGACCCTGTCTCAAAAAACAAAACAAAACAAAACCAAAAAACTATTACTAATCAATGTAACAGGAATGAAAGTTCAGAGAGGCAGTTTGGGGCTGGCCATATTTAGCAAATAAAAATGAAAGATTCCTAATTAAATTTTAATTTCAAATAAACCACATGTAATTTCTTTTTTTTTTTTTTTTTTTTTTTTTTTTTTTTTTGTTTTTTTTTTTTTTTTTTGTACCGGAGATAGAACCCAGGACCTTGCACTTGCAAGGCAGGTGGCAGAACCACTGAACTAAATCCCCCACCCCTACCACATGTAATTTTTAACATAAGTGTGACCCAGATATTGTATGGGATATACTTATACCAAACTTTATTTATTCATTTATGTACTTATTTAGAATAAGGAAAAGAAAGTGCCATCCAACATTTGAGGCACACTTATGGTAAAAATTATCAGTGCAGACTCAGTGAAACAATCACTAAATTGTGTTGAAATATTTCATAGTCTATCGATGCTTCTGACTCTCATGTACCAAGTAACTATCTGACACCATTCTTTCCCATATACACACATAACCCGTGGGGCTCTGCTGAAATGAGCACTCCTGTCTGCTTGGTCTTAATATCTACAGAATTGTTCTGTGTTGCATGAGCTGGATTGTGGAAGTCTGTTCCTAGCAGATCTACTTCTTTTGTTTGTTTGTTTGTTTAGCTGGGGGTCAAACTCAGGGCCTTGCACTTGCTAGGCAGGTGCAGTACCACTGAGCTAAATCCCCAGCCACTAACAGATCTGCTTCTGATGCCCACAAAAATTGGGTTGCTGATATTGTAGAACTGAGATCAAGACCCTAAGCAGGGCGGACTTCACCTAGGTACTTCATAGGGATTCTTTCGAAATAACTGAAAGGCCTTCCCCAAACTGCACTACTGTTTGCTGAGGATGTTTTTGCTTTGGTCTGCTTTGTTTTCAGTTAAAATTATACCTTCAATTGGAATTGGGGCAATAGAATAAACTGAAATAAAATAACTGTTTATCCCCAAATCCCTTTCTAGATTTCAGTGGCTTTCCCTCTTTTTCAATTTTTTTAATTCCCTGAAATGCCTTTCTCGAATCTTCTTGTTCTCCTTGGCTCCCAAAGCACTCAACGAGGAGGCCCAGCCATGGAAGGACAGGAGCTGGCATGGACAATAAGGGTCGTTTGCAGATTGGATGTTAAATTCTCACTGAAGGATTTTCTTGCTTTCTTATCCTTTCTAAAAATGTATGACCATAAGCTTTTCAGCATCATCCAGTGTTCTGAGCCCAATTACTTCCCAGTGCTGATTCTCCAATGGCAATTTCCTGGTTGGTTCTATAAGATAAAATTCCCAGGAGTAGACTATAGTGTAAAATAGAAGGATGCTCTGAGTATCTATAAATAATGATGATGGTGATAGTGACAGAAATAATGGTAATGATATTAGAACTACTTGACTGATCGATTGATGATTGATTTTGATGGATGTTTTCTTTGTACTCAAGCCCCTTAGAACTCTTGACAGGATCTATTTTAAACTAGTTTAGTGCTAATGAACTTGGCTTTTCATCTCCTACTGAATTATGTCCTTGGTATGCAATTTATTGGTAAGACAAGTAGGAAGAATAAATCCCACAATAAAATGGTTTTCCTAAATAAGAGTTTGGAACAATGAACTGTTAAACATAAAAAATGCCTATCTTTATTATTTAACATTTACTATGAAAGCATCCAGGTGGATCTTCTTGCTTCCCTGCTCTTCCCCAAAAAACCTATTATAATTGAAGAAATAGAATATTTTATGACTTATATTCACCTCTTTAAAAATCTCTGATGTGGGACTAGGGTGCTTGCCTAGAGTGAGTGAGGCTTTGGGTCCAACCCCGGAAAAGAGAACAAAGGAAATTATTCTTCGAAATACTCTATCACAGAGTGCTAGATTTATTTAGGCCCTGGACTTTCCCATTCAGTTAGAATAAATGAATTTTTTACTGTTGCCTTGAAAAAAAAATCAAGATAAGAGAGGAAAGGTCTACTAACTCAGATACAGAGTGAAACAAAATTTTGAAAATAATACAGCCATTAAATGAAACTTTTTAAGATGAAGTCAAGCTGACAGCATTTACATAAAAGAAATTTTGTTCTTTGTTTTACAGCCATGAATATGTCCTTTTAAAAATTATCAAAATTCTTCTGGGCATTGAGAAATTAGATTCATTCATAGGAAAATGGATACATTTTGAGGATATACTCCTAAGTGAAATAAATAAGTCACACGTGTAAATACTGAATAGTTTCTCTGGTGTGAAAAACTGTAATAGTACATAAGATCCTAATGAGATAATTAACAATGTGAAATAGAAAGAAAAGGGTTAAAGGTGTAGGGGAAGTGGGAAGGGTAGGGGAAAGGTAATAAGGGAAAAGAAAAAGTAGGAGAAAATGAA